GAATCTTAGGAGAGAAATCTGGGCTGGAAATAAAGATTTGTGATTCATCAGCTCCTAATTAGTCTCAATGACTCCTCTGGTAATTGAAACCTTTGAAGGGGCTGAAGTTAACTCAGGAGAGTATAAAATAAGAGAAGGTTGATGAAAAACCATGGGGAGCTCCAGCATTTAAAGGAGGGGTGAGAAAAGAACCACATACAGGAAACTGAGTAGAGTGGTCAAAGGGAGAGGAGGTAAACCAGACGGAGGTGCTGAAGAAGGAGGGAGAGGTCACCTGTCAATGTGGTGCCATGTGTCCCTAGTCTTTGAAAAATTGGCAGTATGACCCACTGGTATAGGGTATGACCAAAGAAGCCATGGTCCCTACCAGCTCAGCAGTCTTCCCAGTAGCCTGGTTTATTTAAATGTTTTGAGATATGAGAAATAAGAGGAATTGCCTTGTGATTCTTAAATAGTAACATACATTTTATGTTTCTGAGTACATGCACTAGAGTTTTTTTTGTTCACTGATAACCTGTTTGCTTCATCTGTGAATGATACTCACAGAATAGGATAGGGTTGTGAGAAATTAAATGAATAAACATAAATAGCTAGTATTGAGCCAAGTACACAGTAGGTAGTCAGTAAGTGGTTTTGTGTGTGTGTGTGCATGTGTGTGTGTGTGTGTGTGTTTGTGTGTGTCTTTTCTTTCTCTTTTAATAGAGAACTTGCGCCTTGTAAAATTAAACTGTACTGTTTTGGAATTTGAGTTTTTTTATATGGCAGATTTCCATGAAGAAAAAATGTTGTAATTATTGATTGAATTGTGCTGTTAGAATTAGAATTAGGTTCATAACAAATAGGAACACTGTTTCATAAACTTGCAAACAAAACAAGCCAAGAATTGTACTTCCTATCCCCTCGTTGAATCTGGCCCTCTGTTTCAAATTAATTAGATTTTTGGATAACTGTGCTAAACTTTGTCACATCCTTATTAAAATTGTTTAAGGATTTTGAAGAGCATCTCAGAGGGACTCCGAAACTAATCTGAGTCTGGTACTGAAGATTCCATTAGCAATCACAAAACTGATTAATCTTTTACTCAGTTAGCTTATTGATTATTGCTGCAATTACTGCATGTAACAGATCCTGCCAGGAATAGCAGCGGAAAACACATTTTATGACTGCTGCTGATGTATTCAGTCTGAGCACAGTATTTTCTACTCTTTGTACCTAATTATTTTTGTATTTTTAAATGTGGGAACGCTTCTGTCCAGAAAGTGCTGTTGTTTTAGTGGTAAGGAGTTAACTTTTTAATTTCTCAACCTCTGGTAATGCATCATAGTTTATGAAGTGCCATTGCAAACACCTTTGCTGCAGGTCGATTTCATGGCAACTCAAAATGTAATAGACTAGCTAGATTTACTCTCATTTGGAGGAAACTAGAGCTCAGTGAGGTTCAATGCCTGGCTATGGTAGCAGAATCAGAATTGGCCCCCTTTCAGTCACTAAATATTTATTGAACACCTACTATGTGCAGGGCTCTGTGTCAGGAATAATAAAAGCCAGGATAGAATTATAGAGATTGCATTTGGGATATTATTTGATTAGCTTCCAATTATGGCCCCATTAATGTTATTATAATGGTCACTTGAGGGGATCTCTGGGTGGCTTAGCAGTTTGGTGCCTGCCTTCAGCCCAGGGCATGGTCCTGGAGTCCCAGGATCGAGTCCCACATTGGGCTCCCTGCATGGAGCCTGATTCTCCCTCTGCCTGTGTCTCTGTCTCTCTCTCTCTCTCTCTCTCTCTCTCTGTGTGTGTGTGTGTCTCATGAATAAATAAATAAATCTTTTTTAAAGAAAAGGTCACTTGGTCACTTTTCTGTCCAAGCCATGTTAAATGCCTTGGTGTACAAGATTGAGGTTTTTGTTTGTTTTCTTCAGTTTGTTTTGGGCTAGTGGAAGTCATTATTGCTTATTTTATCACTATGTAGAACAAAATTGGAAAAACTCTCTTTAAAAGGAGATTTTCGGGGATCCCTAGGTGGCTCAGCCGTTTAGCACCTGCCTTCGGCCCAGGGTGTGATCCTGGAGACCCAGAATTGAGTCCCACATCAGGCTCCCTGCATGGAGCCTGCTTCTCCCTCTGCCTGTGTCTCTGCTTCTCTCTCTCTGTATCTCTCATGAATAAATAAGTAAAATCTTAAAAATAAATAAATAAAAGGAGATTTCTAAAAAATAAGAGACTACCCGGATCTAGAAAGAGCTTGCTCTGTAGCTTTGGGGCTAGCCTCTTTCCCTCAGGTAGTCTCATGGCACTCCTCTGGCCATGTGGCATCTTCATTTTACACGAATAACCCGAGGCACAGCCAGTGTTTCTTCGCCAAGCTCATGTGCTGGGGAATGACCAGTACTCAGATTTCTACACTGGGGTCCTCCAATTCCCCCAAGTGCCTTGCTGGATGACACAGGCCCACAGCCTGCAAGGATTGCTCTGTGCCAGTAGGTATGCATGGCCCCACGCTGTATCCTTATTCCTTAGAAAAAGCTACATATGCAGCAGCCTGAGCTCTTGGGCTTGGTACCTCGTTGGCAGCCATCCAGTCCTCACATGGCCTACTCTTCAGACTCAGTTGCCTACAGTGGGCCCAGACCATGGGTTTAATTACCACCCTTTGCAGTGTCTTTCTGATGGTGTCTTTGCTGTATGGATCACAAGAGTCTCTGTTAATACAGAGATCAAACCCAGTATTTCAGTGGGGAAAAAAATGTCCCTTGGATTTGGAAGAATTATAGAAAACAAAAAACAAATGCAACTGCTTGCTTTAGAAATACTGGCAAGTGCACACAATATCATTATTGTGACTGTTAATTGTAGCATAAAGAGATGGTTATAGATGGCTAAAAATTTTATACAGTGATTATAAAAGCATATATAGTTTGCCAGTTGATTTGGCACAGATCTGAAATGAAAAGGAAACCATATTTATTTATTTATTTTGTGAAGTAAATAAATAAAGTTGGAAAACAGGTCAATTTCATGCATGCAAGGTTTTATAGTAGGAAAAAAATGCATTGCACCTGTTCTGACCCTTTACATTTGAGGTTATTTGTTTTCAAACTTGACCCCAAGCTCCAGTTTCCGACAACCCTTGTAATTAATTTGTTAGATAAAGCATAAGGATATTTTATTTGTTTTGATTTCTAGGACGGTGGTGAAGTAGTACCTATTGTACATAGCAGTTAATTAAAGAAAAGCATTAACTATAGGAGAACAGCACCACTGCTGTTGTCTTGTATCAGTATAAGAAGGCAGTAATGTTTTTGACAGCCACTGATTGGAAAGTTGCTTGCAGCCTTCCAGAACCAGGGGGGTACATGCTGTGGATCAATAACCAGCAAATTTCCCATTAAAAAGGATACCTGAGCAATGTTCCAAATAGCCACTGGCATCTTAATTTTCCATGGAAACCTCGAATACTTGTGTGCCGAGGACAAGTCATTTTCGGACAATTTTTCCAGACTACTTGTTAACAGTTATTGCCGTCCCAAAAGGTTGACAGCTTACATGATGGATATTTCATTTACTTGTCATCACTGTTTGAGTAATGGCGAGCGGTATATTTCTGAGGTTTTAAGGAATATAGTCTCCTGAAAGACATTCAGCTTAGTATGTATTCCAGAGTGTATGTCACACATGTTTATGCCGTATGTATATAGGCTGTTACATCCATAGAAGGAGAGGATCGGCGTCCTTTACAGTTTGGAAGCCCTTGGAGAGCAAGGTACACTTGTATCAGTCCATAGCTATCAGAAATCCACTTTATCTGTTCTTAGGACAAAGGGCCTTAGATTGTTAACTTGTGATTCCCAAGATGATGTAGAATTACATAGCTCCCCTTTATTTCTAAAAACAAAAACAAAAACCTTAATTTTGCAATAATATGCATAAAAGCATTAGGAAGATGTATGTCTGTGTCTTCTAAAAAAGACTTCTTAGGAAAAAAAAAAAAAGACTTCTTAGGAAAGTCAGCAAGTAATGATTATCAAGGAAGAATTTCCAAAAAGGTGGCAGCTACATAATATGTGTCTGTTTTAAATATAGATACAGCAAGAGTTAAAAGGAGAGATCTGCTGTGTGTGTGACAGCCCCTCAAAACACAAAATCGGTGGTTTCTGTTGTTGATATTTTTCTGCCATGAGCATCACTTTGTCGTTTGCCAAATGTTAAAAGAAGTGAGGGCACAGAAGCCATCTCTAGGTTAGGTGGACATATATTCACGAATTAGCAAATTAAGGAAAAACAGGTATCAGACCGTAATACAACCTGGTGATTGAATTTGTGTTTATGAAGGAGTATGAAAGCTTTTTCATTTGGAACTTTACTTTTGGTGCCCAGAATTTTAAAGTGAAATTTACTCTATACTATTTACAGATAGACTCTATACTATTTATATAAGTGAAGCATAAACGATGTTTTCTTAAAACTGAGCTTTTTATCATATTAATCCTGTCATGATTGGATGAATCATGTCTTGTTTGCTTGCAGCACAGTTTCTATGGTTTAGATTTCCATTATCTGTACCCTTTTTACACAAATATGTGTAACGTTTGATCTACTACCTGGCACATATGTCCGAGCTAAATGTGAAGTGTCTTCATTTTGCTTTGCAAAACCCAGAGAAAAGAACAAGAGGCAATTTGAGAGATTTCCCCTAAAAAGCTTTGTGTCATTTTTAATACTTGTCATTTTCAAAATATTTCTAGAGATTAAATGCTAAATTCTTAGTCAACATTTTTACTTTTAAAGATAAATGACAATGTGGAGGATAACATTATACTGGACTTTCAATCCTGAATACTCATTATAGTCATTTTTATGTGCAAATAGGAAAAAGTATTCTCGAGGCTGATATGTATATACCAGCAATTTACAAAAGTACTATGAATTAAACAACCCATAAGTGTCTGTTCCAGTATTCATACATTACTGAGTAATCTCTTTCTATAATCTCTTTGCAGTATTATTCCACAGTAATGGAACAGCAAGTAAATGGACAGTTAATAGAGCCTCTGCAGATATTTCCAAGAGGTAATGTTGAACAAATTCTAATCAACAATGATTATTTCAGTAAACTGTTTCATCAACAGTTATGTTTTCCAAAGGTTTAAATGCACATAACATGATGTTTAGCTCTTAATTTGAAAAAACAAAAGAAGTATTCATTATCGTGGGGATTGCAGGCTGTATTATAGTTATGGCAGATAAAATATCTAATTTACTAGAGTAAATTAAACTAACTAGATTGTTTTTTGTTTTTGAAGTACATACTTACATTCGCTTAAAGAACTCTTTGGGGGTCCACATGGTTTCTAAACCAAGGCAAATGAATGACTTTAATTTCAGATATTTATAAATTGTGGCTCATGATGGTAGCCAAAGCTGCTGTTGAGGAGAAAGCTTTCAGCTGGTACAGAAGTGAAGCTTTACTGCAGGTTTTTAGGAGAGAATTGATAATGTTTGGTGCTTGGTTTGGGGGGGTGGCATTTTCCAGATAACAGAAAAATCTTCATAAATGGGAATTTAATTGTTATGTTTCCAAAAATATTAGCTGATGAGGGTAAGCATTGGTGAATCACCTAGTCAAATAATATTCCTTTTCCATTTTAGGTTGGTAGAACTAGCATTGTATCACATACAATTGATCAGCTGTAATATAAATGTTCCTTCAAAATTTGAAGAATAGGAAAAAAGAACAGTTTAATTAACCACTTAATATAAATCATCAAGTCTTTCCCCCACTATACTTTGCCCTACTTGGAATTAATATTTTCTAATTGATGGAGCAGATAAGGAAATGCTGTAACTTTTCTAGAAGTAACTTAATTGAAATCATTAAAAGTTAAGCTTACCTTTGTTAACTGATACTGTACAAATAATCATGATATGGGTTTTTCAATTAAACATTCTAGACTTTCATTACCTGTAACTCTCTGAAGTTGAGTGGCTCAATTAACCAGTAGACTCTTATTTACACCGATCAAGTCTCCAAAGGCAGCCGACTCAGCCAGCCCACAGGAAGGTCTGAGTTCAAGAGTTATGCCTTTGTAGCATGAAGGTGGGCAGTGGAATTGGGAGTACTTAGTACATTATTAATAATAATGTATTAAAGAGCTAAGTGAGTAAATTAAATTGAGCTATTGATAGTGTGTCTGAAACAAAAATTATGATTAATCCACTTCTGTTGTATCTCAAGACTGAAAACTAAAATAGAAAAAGCAGAAAGAAAAGCAGATGTTGCCATTTCTGTGCATAGGCCAGTAACAAGGGATGCAGATCATTTCTTGTTATCTTCAGTGACGGGAGAATTTGGGCAAGTTTCAAAATTGTTTCTCCATAAAGAATACTTTCTTTACCAGCTGAAAATTTCCATTCACTGTTTCCCTACCTGACTTTATCACTGTTGTTGTAGCAAACTCTAGTACAGTGACCTGGAAAGTTCTGATGCTGTGGGTCTTTGTGGTTACCCCCCCCCCCCCCAAGATTTAGTTCTCTTCATCCAAAATCTAAGTTTTGGTTTTTTTCTTTTATTTTGTGCTACCAGTCCTTGGCAGTCTTCTTGTCTACACCATTGTGCTGCCTCTCATGATGTTAACAACTGTTTTTAGACATCTGCTCTGTAGGCACTAATATTGCTTTAAGTGTTATCATTTCTCATTCTCTTGACATTTCTGCCTATTAAGCATTATCGATTCCATTGTATAGATGAAAATATGCAGGTTCAGAGAGGTTAAGTAACTTCAGAATACATAGCAGCCCATAAGTGGTTAGAGTAAGTTATTCTCAATATTCTTTGAGTAAGAATTTTGTTCAAATTATAATTTGCTTAAAATGGAAGGGCATATAAATGAAAATATTCATGGAATGTGATGGGGATAGTCTGGAGGGGGGTTGGTAGGAGTATAGAGAACAGTATTATAGGGAGAAGATACTTAAAAGAAGACAGTATGTGAGATGTGATCATCACATGTAGTTCTAACACAGACCTGTTAGGCTCCAATAAATCATTAAATAAAATTCTTCCAAGCCAGATTTGAATTTTTTTAAATATGAGACTCAGTCTCCCTTCTCTATGGTTTCTTGGATGTTATTGTATAACATCCATTTTTATTTTATTTATTTATTCATTTTTAAAGATTTTTTTCAAACAATTTTATTTATTGGAGACCGAGAGAGCAAGCCAGCACAAGCAAGGGGGAGGGGGCAGAGGGAGAGGGAGAGGGAGAGAAGCAGATTCCTGGCTGAGTGTGGAGCCCAATGCAGGTCTCCATCTTACAACCCTGAGATCATGACCTGAGCAGAAATCAAAAGTCAGATGCTCAACTGACTGAGCCACCCAGGCACCTCTGTACAACTCATTTTAGTTTTCTGTAGTCTTGCTCTTTGCTTACTTACCTATATTTTATAAATGAGATTAATACAAATTTATACAAGGATATAGACATATTGGGTAGATTACCTGGGTTAATACATGTTTGGTCAGAGGCTCCCAGACCTTAGTTTCTTTGGTCAGGCCCTATGCTAAAAAGAATTTCTAGAGTGAACTAGTGAGAAAGAGCAGAGAAGACAATTTTGTTCTAACATCAGGTGTTCTCCTCATTCCAAATAAGATTACACTTGCCTTGGATGGTAACTCCCAGCTCATGGCTGTGCTCTCTGTAGTTAAAAGATACATTACATATTAATAAGTATGAAAAATTACTAGTTATTTATTTATTTATTTATTTACGATAGTCACACACAGAGAGAGAGAGAAGCAGAGACACAGGCAGAGGGAGAAGCAGGCTCCATGCACCGGGAGCCCGACGTGGGATTCGATCCCGGGTCTCCAGGATCGCGCCCTGGGCCAAAGGCAGGCGCCAAACTGCTGCGCCACCCAGGGATCCCGAAAAATTACTAGTTTTATGTAACTTTTAACTGCATAACTTTAGGAAATGTGAGGTTAGTGGGTTTTTTGAATACTGTTTAGATTTCCAGTCATGAAGGTTTGAGAAGCCAATTGAGTAACGAGGCAGATGTTTTAAGGTAAGAGGTAAGACTTGATGCCTGTCTCTAATTCCTTAGTTAGTCACTTTCTTATTAAATGAAGTTCATGAACTTACTGGGTACTTAAGTGTAAATACTGTGAAGTGTTGTCTTAGGAAGTATTTAATGGTCCCTCAAGGACCAGGCATCAAATGTATGTGACTTTTGTTTTGTTCAAAAAGTTAATTTCCATTTTATGGAAAGAAGTTTGGAATCTAATTTTAATTTATATTTGGAAAAACAAAAGTTCTTTATTAAGGTTTAGATATATTTTCTAGGAAAATAACAATAAACTTGAATATACTCAAAATATACAAAATTAAAGCAACTGATAGGCTCTGTATTTATTATCCACATCTTCTCATTATTAAACTGCTTTTCTTTTTGTCAGAAACAGAGGAAGAATACATGTACCTCAGAGAGGAGAAAAAAAAATAAAATGTATCCTTCCCCAAACAATCAATCAAAATTGACAGCCCTTTAACATACAATATGTAGGGCACTGTAGTTTTCAGATGGAAGCAGCCTATAAAATGGGTAGGACACACTTGTATTTTTAACATTTGATGAAGAAGCATTTGCTGAATTGGAAAAGTACTACCCTGTAACTCAGGGTGATGTCCGGAAATTAATATTATTTTTCCTGCCTGGCACTGCTTTATCTTTAGATTTAAATACTAGAGGATGTCAAAATTTGAGAAAAAAAAAGTAAAATTAATGATATCACTGTATTTTAATAAATATGACTACTTATTGCTGTGCAAACTGGTATTCAAACTTGAATATTCCATTTTAGATTCTCTAGCCATCTTTCTGGCATTTAAAGACCCTTTTCTCCCTACCCCTCTCCCCCCAAAACCTAGCTATTTTCTAAATAGTTTAAGTGATAGCAGATATACAATGTAATAGAGTTGAGGAAAGATTGCAGAAATTTGAATTATGAAAGGAATCTAATCATTTTAGCTCAGTTAACTTGATTTTTATATGTTTTAAGCAGAAATTGGAATTTATATGAGGTGGTGTCAGAAAGCTCTTTGCATTTATAAATGCTCACTCCTGCAAGTTAAAAACCCTGGTTCATAATTCCCACTTTGGGTCTTGGGAGCCACTTTTCAATCATTTCTCTCTGCTAATTTTGGTGTCACCCTCATTTCTTTTTAAACGATTCATTTTGAGCAAATTTGTAAATGGCCCTGATGTGTTCTACAATTTAGTCAATTACTGTTTCAGCCTGCAAGCCTCCTGGGGAACGGAACATACATGGCCTGAAGGTACGAATTTCAATAATTGTTTCAGTAAAGTTAGATGGATTTGTAATGCTGTGTTCCACTTATTGAAATGTCAAATAAAACTGCACTTTCTCAAGCTCTGACAAGCGATTCTTTTTTTTTTTTTTTAAACAGGATGTGGAGGGGGATTCATTTGTAGTATTTGCTCAGTATGTGTACATATTTGGATCGAAGGGTTTTGGTGCCATATTTTTTTATTATTTGGAATTTTTTCTTGGTCCATTTCTTCAGGATGACTCTAGGTATATTGTCCACAAAGATTTATTTGGATGAAAATATAGACTTCAATTCAGTGATTAATTAAGCACATAAGCATATTGCACACAGAATACCCTCCTCTTCTTTTGACATATTTATGTTAGAATCATATATCGATTTAATGTCTTTTCCTTGTTCTGTGTCTTTTGAATTCTGGATTTCTGCTTACAGCTTTACATTTGAAAGAAAAGCTGGCTATTGTATTAGATTCAAGCATTTTATAATTAATTATTTGGGCCTCATTTTTCAGTGAATAAGAAACATTCTACAGTGTTCTGTTTGGCTTTACATTTGGAAGGGCGTGAAAACTTGAGGTTCACCACTAACCTCTGAATGTATTCTTTATGTTCTTTTTTTGAACATTCTGTTTTGTATATGAAACAAAACAAAGCAGTGAATTGAATTCAGTTCTAGATGGTGATTGAAAATTTCCCATTTATCTCTTCTTTGTTCAATGCTGTTTAAGTATTTGAATAATGACAGGAAAAGTGTATTATGTAATATACGGGTTGTACAGTTCTGTAACCTATATACTGAATAGACTCCAACCGTGGGTCTATCTAGCAACAAGCTAATTAACCTTCATAGTGAAATGAGAAATTTGTGGCAAATTATAGGTTAATTGGAACTGTGTCCTCAGAACACAAGACTGATGGAGATTCTTTCTTCCTTGTAGGTGAATACCCGAGCTGGACCCTCTCAACATGGCAGCCCAGCAGTCTCTGATTCACTTCCAAGCAATAGGTGAGGGCAAGCAAGTGAAGTGTGCCCATGAGCATGCTGATTTGCAGATCGGGGGTGGGGAAGAGGCCCGTGGGATGACCCTTCTTTTCTGTAAGACCAGATGAATGTGTATATGGCTAAGAAGAAATTTGACCAGTTGAGTCACCATAGCTACGTGTTGACTGAGAGAAAGAGCCTCACTGAGAAAGATGGAACGAGGTATTTTCAGCTATTAATTTTGATCTATAGAATGGTACTCCTTCAGTCTCCAACTTATACAGAAAAATCAGTGCCTTTGACCTCAGTGCCATTTATGCCTTGATGATCTGGTTCATAAATTGTATCAGGCTCATTATTTTTTTCTTGCTTGCCTATCTTTTGGCAGTATTGTTATCCCCTGACATCTTTACTAGAAAGAGGCAAGGAAAGAGTGAAGGAGTAAAATTTAGATGGACCAGCCACTTTGTTCTTTTTGTATCTTTGGTCATATGAAGATTGATGCTATTTATAGAAGGAAGATAATCTTCATTAATTCATGCTAACAGTGCCCCGACACTGGCATGAGGATACTAAATAAAGACTTGGGAACCTTTTCACAGTGTTCTTCTGATAGGCCTGAAATCTTACTTCCAGATTTTCATGGTCCTCAAGTAAGAAGGAGCAACCTGCTTAAGCTGATAGAATTCTGAGTCATCCTAGTTATACGTGTGGTTATTCAGCCAGTAAGCTTCCCTACTGTGCCTGAAGATGACACTGTGGAGGTGATGCTCTGTATGTATGTATTCACACTGGTGACTGAAAAGCCAGCATCGAGCTACCCTTCCATTCTGTGTCCAGGTTCTTCTGGGTTTGGAGCTGTAACCAATATTGCCTTTTATTGGCTGAGATGTAGTTTGGGTCTCTCCTCTTCCTTCCCTACTCCTCCTTAACCCAGAGTCTTCATTCTTTTTGCCAGAGGGCTTTACTGTAGATAATTTAAAGTCTCGCCTCTGACTCCCTTTTTTTCTCTACTGTCCCCCACCCTTTTCCCCCTCCCCCAAAAGTCACTTCCTTGATTGCTTTATTGTAGTGTCAGGATATCTACTCATCAGCTTTCTTGCGGTGAACACACGACTTTTAGAGTGTGTTTCCCACTTAAGCAATTTATTCTGTCTTCAAGTACATTTAGCCTGGTTATTCATCGGAGGTGCATCTGTCCTTGTGGGCACAAGGGGTAGGTCTCTTAGTCCTCATTTGAGAGCTTGACCCTGGCCCAGTAGTGTGGAGACACTGGGCTGAGAGTCACTTGTTACATTCAGTTCAAAGAAGGCCAGGCATTTCATTTTTACCACTACTTTCAGAAAAGTTGTTACTCACCCAGATTCACCATGAGCCTTGAGGAGAAACCAGGTCTTTCCCTGGTATCTTAGGTCCCATTTCATCATAGTATAAAAAGCAGGATAGAGTTGAAAAAAATGGTAAGGCGGAGATGGGGCAGGATAACTTTTTAGTTCTCTGAGATTTAGCATTAACAGCGTGAATAAATTAGCTTGGTTTTTAAAGAATGACTGTGTATATTCACTGAGTGTCATAAAATTTCCAGGTTGGACAGAAATTTGGAAACTGTCTGATCTAGTAGTTCTCGGCCCTTTGGTATAGCATCTTTGCTTACCTGTGTGACAGCCTCCCAGCTAGTGATGGTGGCTTCCTCCGGTAGGGACTTCTGTTATGGGAGGAATGCAGTTTGAAGGAGACCTATCATAGATTTTAATATACTACCCTAGGTTGGCCATGTTCTATGTCCCTTGTTGACAATTAACCAAAAGTATTTATTGAGTGCCACTTATTCAGTAGGTGCTGTCCTATGCACGAGAAATAAAATGTGGTCTGCCTGTACAGCTTGCTATCTAATGGACATACAGAAAAAATATATACAATCACACCTTATAATTAGTGTTTTAAAGGAAGTAAGCAGGTTTTGAACATATTCCTGCCCAGAAAACTGGGCATTTAGACAACCTACTCAGGGACTCATTCTTGGGAGGAGAGTGACATTCTGTTGAGGCCTGCAGGAGGGTAAGGGCCAGCAGAGGGCATTTAAGAGGGAGCGGGGAGCATCAGGAAGGCCCTATGGTGGAAAAGGAGCACACCGTGTTCATAAGCAGGCCAGTCTGGTTGGAGTGGAGGGGGTGGTGTGGAGAGATGGGGGCGGGGAGGAGAACATTGGAGTGACAGGCGAGAAGGAGGTAAACGGGAGCTGGATCAGCAGGGCCTTACATTTGAGTTTTCCTCTTGGTGTATTGGCATTGGTGAGCCATCAGATGGTTTTCAGGAGTCCTGTGGCCAGCTCAGTTTATAAAACACCCTCTGCTGTGGGGAATGAGTGGAGAAGCACCCATCTCACCCTGCTCTGTTTTGGTGCTTGATTCCTTGCCAAATGGTCACCCAGGCTCTTCCTGAATATGCCTTGCAGCATGAATGTACTTTATTCGCCATGGCAGCCTGTCCATTTTCACATAGCTCTGTCTTCGAACTTTCTTTGTCATGAGGTGAGTTCGGTCCCCCTTTAGCACCCACTTATAAAGATTTCGTTTGGCCCTCAGAGCACAGCTGTTCCCTCTCCTAGGTCGCTCTTCCCGTCGTCTTCCCTGCAGATGTACTTCTATAGTTTTCCTGTCTCGGCAGATTTTCCCACACTCACCTGGTTGCTAACTTGCTGGGCATCCTTCACTGCCTCCTGGGCCTCCCTCTATGCCACATCAGTTCCTACATCTGTCCCTTCCGAGTCACTCTGGAGTCCGTCCACTTGTCAGCAGCCTGTCGCTGCTGAAGCAGTTGGGGCTCTGGGGATTGCTGTGGCAGACATCTGCTGGCTTCCTCCTCCAGTCTTGCTCTGTGCAGTCCCTCCCCACACCACGGCCAGGGGGATCTTACTGACACTCACTCTGAGCCCATCATTCCCCCTTTACAGCTGCTCATTGCACCTCAAAACCTTCAGGACAGCGTATAGCCTTGGCTGCAATGGAGCAGTGGCCTTTCACATGTAGGCTTCTGCCCCCTTTGCCCCTTCCTACCTGACATTCTAGCTTTTCTGATGAATGTGTGGTGCCCTCAGTGGATCATGCTTTCTCTTACTCCTGGCCCTTCCTGCTTTCCTCCTTTTTTGTCCCCTCCTTCATATTCAGTCTGGCCAGTCTTGGTCATCTTTGAGGAGCCAAGCTGTTATCGTCTTCTGATGATTGCCCACCTCCTACTGTATACCAGGTGCCTACTCTATGAATTTCCCTAATCCCCTGGTGCCTGCTTTTACTGTGGCAGTTAGCACGTTGTGTGTTACAATCACTTCTGTCCCCCAATAGATTCTGTACTCTTTGAGGGCAGTGACTGTAGCATATTCATTATTGAATTCCCAATTCCCAGTGTGATGCTTGCCACATAGGAGATAGTCAATAATGCTTGAATGAATGAGTGGATGAGCAAATTTATATTCCCTCTAACTCTTGTCTCTGAATTAAATTCTCCCAAACTCATTCAAGCCTTTCCGATACATTATTTCTAGTCCCCTCACCCATTTCCTCTTCTTTAGATGTCTCAATGTCCCTCTTAAAGTATCATACCAAGGTTACAATAACATCGCATTTAAACTTAAAATGTTTTAAAAAGTGATTTTTGGATAGCCCAAGTCACTGTGATCATTAAAGATAAACAAAATATTGAATAAATTGAGGAAAAGGAAAATTGCCAGAATTTTTTCTTTTAGTGTGACCAAGTGGTAGTCAGACATTGTTATAATGAATGAAATGAGCATTCTCCTGTTACTCTCAAAGCATGAATCAGTTTTTGCCTTAGGTGGATGACTGTTTATTAAACTGAGTTTACTAAGCCACATGGTGTTGCTAGGCCATAATTACTGAATTCAAGTCCCACTGCCAATTCAGGGCCTTTCCTAAATATTGTGGCTTTCTCCTTCTGTAAAATCAAGATGATTAAACTTTTCATATATCTATCTTCAGTGTTAGGAAGATTGATGAAACTGTGTTAAGGAATCATATTTTGTTGCTTGGATGAAAGATGTTTTGTAAATGCAATGAATCAAAATGTTATTATTTCAAGTTGTATGACATTATGGAGTATCTGTGGAGAAACCTTGCCTTGGCATTGTTTGGTTATTTCTATTTTTACAATAGTTGTAACTGTTAAATTGGGAGTCATCTCTGGGAATACAAGTGTCTAAATATTTCCCAGGATAAAAAAGTATGTGTGTATGTGTGTGTGTGTGTGTGTAAGAGAGACAGACTGAGGAGGCTTGAACCCTAGTTTCCTTGATAAATTATTCCCACAGGGCTATAGTTGCTGTGAGGATTAAATCAGGATAATAAGTAATAGCATTTAGCACCATGCCTGGCACATGGTATCATCCAGTAAATGATAGCTGTTATTATTATTTTCTTAACTGGATTGAGTTTGGCAGTTTATTTTTTGATATTTGTTTCTACTTTGGTCTTATTCTACAAAATTCTTTTTTTTAAACTATTTATTTGAGAGAGAGAGATAGAAACAGAGAGAATCGGGGGATGGGGCAGAGGGAGAGGGAAGAGCAGACTCCACACTGCGCAGAAAACCCATCCCAGGGTTGGATCCCAGGACCCCAAGATCATGACCCCAGCTGAAGGCAGCCTCTTAACCAACTGAGCCACCCAGGCGCCCCTCATTCTACAGAATTCTTAACTGCCACTTCAGGATGTGAATTCTTAGACTTGGGAGGACCTTATTGAAGTTTAGAATCCTTGGTTGAGGTCATGTTTTATAAAATCTGGAGAAAGCAGGGACTGAGGCTCCATAGTCTGTGTTTGACCATAGCAGAAGTTTAAGAAGTATTTAGGAAGAAGAATAATCGTAACTTGAAATAGCAAGTGTGGTCAAACTCGAAGTCTGGGGTCTCTCTCAAATATAACTTACTAAAGGTACCAAATGAATGTGTGTGTATGTGTGTCTGTGACGGCTGTATAATAAATCACAACCAAAGCCACGACCTCCATTTGCCAAACACTTAGCACACACCAAGTCACCGGGAAGGGCATATATAGAGGAGATAAAGATGTGGTTTGTGTTCTTGGGGATCTTCCAGTCTTAGGGGAGGGTGTAATGGAAAGAAAAGCATCTATGCAGGTAACTTAACACAAGGGAGGAGAGTTAATTTGGTAGATGCGTAGAGGGTTTGAGTAGATAAAGAATAGAGTTAACAAGCTTTAAATTTCCAATTAGAACATTGATGAAATGAGGTGCTATTTTGTACCTCACTCTACTAACTGAGTGGATATCTTTGGGTCTAACTCATTATAAAGCTAGAAGGACTTCAGAGCATCCCCTGGCCACTTTTCCTAAATTTATTCCATAGGTGTTTACATAATCATAGATGTCCAAAGGAAGAGCATTTTCATATTTCTTAATGAACTCTGGAAGCTGGATCTCCCACTTATAGGACAGAAAAGGAAAGAAAGAAGCAGAAATTTATTTAGTATCTACTATATGCATGAGCTTTTTGTAATATTTAATTTTCTTGATTACTCTTTAACGTTGCTATTTCCCCAATTTTACAGAAAGGAAATTGTAGTTCAGAGAGGATAAGTAACGGACTCGTTCCAGATCGCACAGCTAGTGAGTCCCACAATTGATTTCTGCTTCACATTTGCTTCTCAGCAAGCTGAATTGTAACTCTTAACTCTTAACTGTAATAAAAGATCAGGACTTAAACTGTTTTATCTTTTGAAGTTCTATTTTCTTGTTTCTGTGAACATACAAAGAATGCATCATTAAGTACTTTGTATTTAGCAGATGACAGAGTCCACATAAAATAGCCGCTGAAAGGCTACCCAAAGGCAGCGGGACTAATAGCCAAAAAAGGTCACTGAAGTCATCCATAAGGTAGTCTAGCCTCATTGTGACTGTAGACTTCTTTATGGCTTTAGGGAATTCAGGTTTTTTATTTATAACTTTGCCATTTGGCCAGTTACTTCCAAAAAAAAAAAAATTATGTAGGAAGAAGGTTGTGAAGAGTGTAGTCCATGTCTACACCTAAAACAAAATATTTTAGTGTAGAATTCTGAGTGGTGTTCCAAGGTGTCTGTAGCCTCCCATTAAAAATCATGTCTTCCCTTTTCAGCTTAAAGAAGTCTTCTGCTGAACTGAAAAAAATATTAGCCAATGGCCAGGTAGGTATCATTACATATTAAAATTTTCTCATAGCTGTAACTTGTTACTGCCCAGTTTTTGTATCCATAAACTTAATATACAGATAAAGAGCCTGTGAATGTCTTCTTGTCATAAATGAATTACAATGGCATAATTTGATTGGCAGAACAATTTGCAGCACGTTTTTCAAACTGTGCTAATGGGTTTCGCTCCCAGCAGATTGAAGTACCATGCACACACCCTGCTGCCATCTCAGTCTAAAAAAAGTTAATCAGTTCTGAACAAGTGTGTCAACCCACGGGTTGTTGAAATGGCCCTGCATCGGGAGGTGACTGCTGCTTTCATTATCTTTGAGGAGAAAAGGAAAAACTGTTACTTTCTTACCTTGGCTCCTTCTTTTGTCCTGAAAGGAACACTGGCGTTTTAGGGAGACACAGTAACAGCAGACCTTTGGCATTTAAAATTCTTTGGCATGAGAATCCCTTGGTTTGATTTGCCTGGTGGACTGGCCATCCTGAAGCTGAATGACCTCACCCAGCCAGTGAGGGACAAACGGGCCTGCAGGCCAGTTATTTCTCACTAATTTTGATTCAAGTAAATGGACACATCTGAAATATTATAGTGCTTTTAAACATACACTGGCAAATTAAGCTACCTACAGGGTCCTCGATTCTTCAATAGCAACATAAATGCGTTTTAATGTTTGTTATAGAGGAAGCCCTTTGATAGCCTTGGAGGCAGGCGCCTGTCCATTGCGATCAAGCCTGCCTATTAGGCTCTATTGACTGAGACATCTGTGTCACTGCAAATAAAAGACTCTTATTGATTTTCTTAACTGCTGTTCACTTCCCGTCCATGTTTCGAAGGCTGAAATCTTAATTATCTCAGATGCTTATTCAGTGCCTTCACACGCTGACCTCTCCAAGGCTCATTGGCATTTCATGAATCAAGTACTTGTAGTGGAGCCCGTCAAGAAGACAAAGCTGGGTCCTCATGCTTGTCCTTTAATATCACCTGTAACTTTGTGGCCTAATAGATGTGCATGACTTACAACGGTGACTGTAGGGTAGTGCTTCTGGAAGCCTACTTCCTTAGCACACAGTCTCTTGAATACAGTTAGAAAAAATAAGTTGATCTGGTTCCAACATTTGATCATCATCCAGAGTGTGTGAATTCTAGTCCTTAGATATTCTGTTTACAGCTAATGAGAACCTGGTGATGTGCATGTAATCTTGACGGCCTTAAAATTTAGGTAGTGTTTACCTTATACTTTTGACTTGAAGCAGCCAGAGGTTGGTTTGGATTGAGGTCTGCAAATGCATCCCCCTAGTGCCCTGGATGTGTTCAGAGCCCGTATGAAACAAAACCTGATTGAAAGCAGCAACTTTGAGCCTAGAATATTTACTTATCTTCAACATGCTTGCATTCCGGTTACTAATTGTAACTTATGTCTGAGTCACTTGCTTTCTTCAGCTGGAAAATATATTTCAAAATTGACATAAATTAAGAAGCTTTAACTACATTTGTTCAACCCAGGCAATGGAAAATAACCTGTCATAGATTCCTCTTTCAAAGATGAAAAACAGTTTATTTCCACCACAAAAAAATGAGCATTCTGAAATGTTCCTAATGTTTTGACAACAGACCTAGTACCATAAATATCTTAGTGGTCACAGTTACGAGGTTCTCTGTGGTGGAAGATTGTTGTAACGATGATTTTTGACACTTAAAGATTGTTTATTGCCCTCCCTTGGGAATGTGATAACCCCACGTTCAACACTATGGTGTTTTCTTTCTTTCCAGGAGCAGCCTTCATTGTATTTACTTTCATTCACATGAACAAACAAAACAAAAACGCACCTTTAGAAGTCTTCCTAATACCTCCTTGTACTAATTTCTCAGTTCCTTGGTGCTATAGGATAACTAGAGTGAGCGAGATCGCACTGCAGTGAGGTAATGTGCGCAGCTGTGGTGTCAATAAATTTCTGGGTTGAGCACTGACACCACTTGATATGGAAGATGTAAGTCACATTTAACGATACTTTAACACTTGAGCATAGTTTTTTATTTTAGTGGTTTATGCTCTCAAGCATTAATAATGATTTGCCTTTCCACTAGCCTCCACTTAGACTTAATAAGGAATTCATATTAATCATTAAAAGAAAGGGACATGATTCTTCAAGATAATCAAATATTGACAGGTTAGAAATAGCTTTCTGCCTGGGTTCATTGATATAGGTTATGTGATATAAATATTTATTTCTTTTCTGTCACTCAGAGTAAATGCCACCAATTGATTCAGCATTGATATAGTGTCAACAGTTCATAAGAAACATTTGACTGGCTTGTGTTTTCCGATTAGTCTCTGCTCTATAAAGTGGGATTTACTAAATCTCTCCAATTGTCTGCTCATAGAGTGTGACTGCTTTCTGAAACCATTATTGCTTCGATTTGTGAAGCAAAGGTCTAGTGATAGGCTTGGTTTCTGTCAGACCTTTACATATAAAATAAGGATTAATTGAGCATTTTTATTTTAATGATTTATAAGCGATAGGTACTGATTCATCTTAACACAGGCAGACAATAAGCAAAGAATATTTTCTTTGCTGATCCATAATTGAATTCCATTTCATTTTTCTCATTAATTTCATTAATATTTTATTAAATCAAGCACTTTTTAAAATTTAACAAAAAGTCTTTGGAATGGAGACATTGTTTTTCTTTTACCGCTTAATGTTGGAGGGTTCCTTTCTTTTCCTAGCTTAAAAAAAGCCAAATCATCAGATATTTTGGGCATGTTTCATTGAGACCTATAAATCAGTACCACTGGGTACCACTGGTATGTTTTTGTGATGTGTTTTTCCCACTTCCGTTTTAGTGCTGTATCATTTCTTTAACATTGGTCCTTGATTTGAAACTGATTAGAAATGGCCCAGTAGGTCAGCTTAAAGGATTATAAAAGTGCACAGTGACCTCAACCAAGGATGAATGACTTTGACCTTTGCATCTCTAAAGTTGTTTTTCCTCTTTTTTGTGTTTTAGATTTTGTAGGAGATGGTTACACTATTTTCCTATTCTTGATAAATCAGGTATAAATATACTGAGAAGCTATAGTTCATACAGATCGTAGAACTAATTCTGACCCTGCTGCACGTTTGGCACTTTTGAGAACTTCAGCTGCCTTTGGGAAAATTTGTTGTGTTTAGAAGGGTGAAAAAGAAAAAAAGGAGGAGGAAGAAAAATATGAATTCTCCTGTAAAATTAGCTTTAAAAGTTGTATTATCACCATTATATAAAACTCTTAGATTCTTATGATTCACCTTACATCCCACACAAAGACCAAAACATAAGTGAGACTGTATGGAAGTCCACACTGCATGACACCCTCCCCTCCCCCCACACACAACCCGTGGGTTGTTCTGTCTAGTCCACATTTCTTTCCCAGCCCCTAACTCTCCTTCAAGTGGAGCAGAACCCAATGCCCATCATTTCTCCTGGGTCATTTGCTGTCTTTCAGTTGACATGTAATTATAACTCTAATGGCTTTTACTTCTTCTCTCACATCTAGTATTCTCTGCCTTTTATTTGCTTTTTTTAGTCAAAACAAGGAAACAGTTATATTTAAAAATAACTCAGTATTGGGGCAGCCCCAGTGGTGCAGCTGTTTAGCATCGCCTGCAGCCCAGGGTGTGATCCTGGAGACCTGGGATCGAGTCCCACATCGGGCTCCCTGCATGGAGCCTGCTTGTCCCTCTGCCTGTGTCTCTGCATCTCTCTGTGTGTGTGTGTGTCTCATGAATAAATAAATAAAATCTTAAAAAAAAAAACTCAGTATCTCTTTTGAACAAAAACTTTATTTCACCTCCTTTTTATATAAAGAGCTATGTGATCTTTGAAACATTTCTCTTCTTAAAAACAAATACCACAGCTTATGAAATTGCTTTTAACTTGTGAGTGCCTTTCCTTTGGTTCTTTCCTTCCTGTGGGCCAGTGATGGGGGAGGATGTCGCTCCATACTTAGCCAGGACATTAGCTGCTAAGATATGGCTTCGGGCAGAGACTATTGAGGGACAGAGTTCTAGCCTTGACTAGTTGTTACTGACTAGTTTTATGACCTAATTGGGCTTTGCTCTTGGAATGCTGTACAGTTCTGTGATTTTTGTGATACTTGATCCCAACTGTAATGTTTATTTTTATTTTTATTTTTTTATTTTTTTTCCAACTGTAATGTTTAAATACTGTATGCTGTAGACATATAAATCCCACCTTTGTCTCAAAACGAACACTGTTCCTGTGCTTCATTTTGAAAAGCTGAATTAATATGCTATCTAAAGAAAAAAGACAACAATGTTTCAACTGTTAATTGATCCCGTTAGTGATTTCTTCATAGTTAAGAGCAAAGATTTGAGTAACCCATTTTGATCAGAGATTTGAAATTCTCAAACGGTTGTTTATCAGTTCATGAGCTTGGCTCTAAAGGGTTTCCTTTAAAAAAATTTTTTATATAAATACCATTTGCATACTATATAAAAATTAGAAAATCCAAATAAGTGAAAAGGAAAAGAATCTGATTTTTTAAATATAAAAATCTGTCCATCAGTTCATAGGCCAGGCAAAGGTCTATAAAACTTTAAAACATTGGAGAAACATTTTAACTATCTTTTTATGGATACTGTCTTTTTAAGTGAGATAGTTTTAGGATTTTCCCTCCAAAAAAACCACTTTTATCTTTATGAGGCTCTTATAATCTTATTATCTGAGGGATTCCAAATTTCTATCCTTGAATTTGCTTACCCAGTGCTTAGCACACACACACAAAATATACAACATCTCTCAGCCCTTCCCCTGTTGGCTGCCTACCACTCCTGGTCAGGTTGGAATGCTGGGGATGTGCGGTGGATGGCTGCTCCACTTATATTCTCAACCTCTTGGGTATTAGAGGTTAAAAACAATGTCAGGATTATAATGGTTGAAGCTTACATGCCATACTTCTTTGCCTTCTCTTCTTCCAACAAAATTCCACAAAATCAAGCCCCCTGCAAAGTCCTAGGTCCATCCCAGTGTGTTATTGGAATGTGTAATAACAATATGTCTTGGTTTGTATATTTTTCTGAGAGGAGATTACTGGTCCTTTTATCTGGAAGGCCCTGATGGAGTGGTAGAGGGGATGTAGTCTTGGGGTGTGATTCCCCCAGAGCCTGAATCCTATATGTACTCCCTGAAATTTGTTCTCTTAGAAATTTGCTTTGGGACCTGATGAGGGTGCAACTTGTTAGGCTAGCTAATGGGATGAATGAGGTTGTTAAGAATGCTGTTTAGACTACCTTGAGAGATGTTTTGAAGGAATTAGTCTATTTGTACTGGCCAATAAATAATGCAGTTTATGTGTGTCTCCTTCATACCCACTGATCAAAGTAAACCCAGTAAGAGCTCTGCTACCTTAGTATCTCAAGTGACCTGATGTGCTGCTCTTCTTCATGCTATTTAAAACATATCATTTGGCCCAGAATAATGAAGTTTTCTTTCTTTTCTTCATGTTTTGTCTTTTATATAGTTAAAATATGGCTTCTTTTCTCTGCTAGTAATATAAAGATAATGAAGAACAAAATTCCCTTAAATAGGAAAATAGTTGCCAGTTTTTCTGACTTGTCTATCATTTTGCCTCTGACCCTAAATATAGTAATTAGCTGATTGCAAATTGCATCAGTCGGGTTGTACTACAATTAAATTTGGTGTTGAATTGGCTTTTACACATTAATCTGTCAATATTCTTTTAGGGATTTGCAGAATGGCTTGGAAAGGAAGCTGTGTTTCTGTTACCTGCACTATATTCCTAATTATCACGGCTCTCTGAAGCTTCAACCTCAGAAATGTATAGAAGAAAAATATTTCCCTTGATAAATGGAACCTTGCTTTATTCAAGTGGTGGATGTTTAGAGCAAAATATTTAAAGCTTTACTATAATGGTCTGAAAGCAAACTATTTTTTTTCCAGATGATATTGAATTAAAAACTCCATCCATTTTCTGCCCATGCAAGGCAATGCAATTCCCTGGAAATTGATTTTTTTTTCAGGGCTTACTATGGCTTTTCCCAAGCTTTAGCTATATGGAAAAGAACACTTTTATTGAATCCATTTAGTGAATAAAGTTGGCAGTTAATTTTTAAGCAACTGGACCAGTGTGTAGAAAATTACTGAATGCATCAAATATAATCTGACTGGTCTTAAGGTCATTTGATAAATAATTTAGGGAGTTCTTTAAAACTCTAAAACATTATTTTGTGGACCCAAAATAATCAGCTACTATTCACAATACAAACGAGAGTAGTAATTGTGGTGTAATAGTTTCACAGAACTGGGGAAGATATGCATGCTGTTTAACATATTAAATTATGAAAATGACTTGAGTTTATAAGAATCACATGCTTATATGTTTTCCCTTTCTGTATTGCAATATTTGACTGCATGTGCATTTGAAAGTGCACTAATTTGGGCCTTTTCCATCAGCGTAATATGATTTCTACCCAGTTACCGCTGTATACTAATTTACTGTTTCCGAAGAAAAGCTCTATCTACTTCAGGAAAATAATTAGCATTATTCAGCTAGTTTGTTTAATGTTAGCTATGAGGTCACCTAAGGAGTTTTTAGGGGCTGATTTACTTACAGATTGTGCATTAGATTACCGGGCGTGTGTCTGTGTGTGTGTGTGTGTTGTCTTCCCAAGTTTGACTTTGGTTATGTGCAGTGCTATTTGGCATTGGTTATGTGTAGTACTGGGGACTGTGTTCTTATCAGTATCTCTGACCTGACCCTTTTGAGCTATGTTATATCATTCCATTTTGACACCTTTTATCAAACTTTAATGAAATGACCCAGGCAAACAAATTGTCATTAAACTTTCCATCACTTTGTCCCTTGGTATCGTCTTTTATAAATTGGACAGCAAATGTTGTATTGATCCTCTCGTTCTTGCAGCTGAACTTGAAATGACCCAGACTGCTTGTTGTTTATGGCCTAGAGTTGCTTTTCCTTGACATTTCCATCCACAGCATGACACCCTTTTTGTTTTTCTTTCTTTCTCGTGGAGATGAATGAACAAGACATACGGTATCGAGACACTCTTGGCCATGGCAACGGAGGCACAGTCTACAAGTGAGTAGTCGATTTTGTTTAAACTTTCTATCCACTTTTGCCAAATGTGAGCACCCAGGTTCTCCATGGCAAAGATTTTTAAATGACCACCAGCACTTAAATGTTATTTCTACTTTGACTCCAAAATTCTGCAAGGTGTCTATTTTCTCAGGAATTGCTTAGAAAAGTGCATTTATATTGCCTCTTTAATATTTCTCTGTCTGCATCTCTCCTGGGTGAGCAGTTAATAGTCCACCATTAGCGAGTATACCTTTAACAGGCCTGAAGTTTAATGCATTTTTTTCCTTCACTCTTTCACACCAGTTTTTTTAAAACTTGCCAGTACCCTGTGCTAGTCCCCTGCCCTTTTACAGCTGTGCCCAGTAGAAGACAACCTTTATAAATACCATTGCTGTGCCCTGTGTCAACACTGTAAGTTATTAACAAGCCCTCTTCCTGTTGTATTTCCTTCTCTCCTCACCTGAGTCCCGAGAGAGTTTCTACACATTGATGAATATGTTAAGTTATAAAATTCTCCCAAATTCTAGTAGCAGTGATCTTACCCTAAAGGAGTGTTCATTTTCATATTAAAAAATGCTAACCATAAAAAATAGTTCTCTCGACAGGGAAGTCTTTCTCATGCAGTAGTGCAAAGTTTAAACTACATAATGTAATATCTGGTACTTAATAGTCTGCAATGGTGTATGAAAAATATTCCAGTATGAATTAAAAAATCCATACTCTGTAAGAAAGCCCTGAGGGAGTAATAAAGCTTTCCTCCAGAGAGCTGTTTTCCATATATACACTGACTCTGCATCACATTATAATTGTGTTTTTACCTTAGATGTTTTAACATTGATATTAATATATATCTTCAAAGTTGTGAAACAATTTATAATTTGTTATTAATGTTCTTAGAATTTGAAGTGCTTGCTAGCCATGTGACTATAGATAAAAATTGCATTATTGCCCGGTGACCATGAAGGGTCACATCCTAAAATCCCAGAACATCTTCCACATATAGATGCAGCCTTGGCATAGAATTAGCTTTCTTAGGGTTAGACGCTTCTTCTAGTTAGCTGACTTACTCAAGACTTCAGTCTTCTCTGCAGGTAGAGCCAGGATATGAGTCCATTCTCCTGAATCTAGTCCCTTAAGAACTTATGTTCATATATTTGGATTATTTTTTTCCTACAGATGATTGGGTATTGTGAGGAGTTGGTCTGAAAGTTAAGTACTTCCACTATGATAATTCAGAGTTATTTAACAGCATATTGCTTACATGATCCTGAGGCCCTGTCCGTAAGATGTTTTATGCCTAAAGCATCTGATGGGGGAATCCCTGGGTGGCTCAGCAGTTTAGTGCCTGCCTTTGGCCCAGGATGTGATCCTGGAGTCCCGGGATCGAGTCCTGCGTCGGGCTCCCAGCATGGAGCCTGCTTCTCCCTCCTCTTGTGTCTCTGCCTCTCTCTCTCTCCCTCCCTCTCTCTCTCTCTCTCTCTCTCTCTATGTCTATCATAAATAAACAAACAAATAATAAATAAATCTTAAAAAAAAAAGAAGCCTCTGATGGATTTGAGTCACTCTTGTCCTTCCCTGGGTCATACTAGCATTCCTTCCCAAGCAGCTCCCAGGCCTGCATAAAGAACATCTCTTCATCTTACTCTTCTTCTTAGTCTTAGCTGACTTGAATGTTTACCCTGTTTTGAAAGTCCTTGGGTTCAGGTGCCCTTAGAAAGGAAAGAAGAAGGAACCTGCATGTTCTGATTTGCTTCTCTTGAGTTCCCTGTGGGGAGCAATTTTCAAAGCCTCAACCTTGCTTTTACTAATACTTTTATGCTCCATAGCCAGATGTAATAAAACAGGAAAGATTTCTAGCAATTTTTCAACTTTCTGGATTCCTTTTCTGACTTCAAATGGAATTCAAAATAATTTCTTTAGTTGCCTAACCTATTCATGTGTTCTATTTAACCAGATGTTTAACTCGCAAGCTTGTTCATATTTTGAAATTGAAGTCCTATTGTGAATTTGCCATCCTGGTTTATTCTAGGAGGGGGAGAAACAAGACCACCAAACTCCAGCAGATGATTTTTATTAGAACTAATATCCCAGATGTTAAGATTATGTATAAAACATAGGTTAATAACGAAAAGGGGAGGGGAATGCAGGGAAATGGAAATAACATGCCCATCTACCAAGGAAAAGTTACAATATACAATCATATTAGTGTTTTTGTGTGTTTGTTTTTTAAAGGTTTATTTATTTTAAAAGAGGGGTGGAGGAGCAGAAGCGGAGCTTAAGAGTCTCTCTTTTTTAAAATATTTAATTTATTTATTCATGAGAGACATAGAGAGAGAGAGGCAGAGACACAGGCAGAGGGAGAAGCAGGCTCCATGCAGGGAGTCCAATGTGGGACTCAATCCCTAAACTCCAGGATCACGTCCTGAGCTGAAGGCAGAAGCTTAATTGCTGAGCCACCCAGGCATCAGGCATCCCTTAAGACTCTCTCTTAAGCAGACCGTGCTGAGTGCTGAGCACTGAGCACAGAGCCCAATGTGGGGCTCCATCTCAGAACCCTGAGATCATGACCCGAGCCAAAACCTAGAGTCAGGACATTTAACTGACTGAGCCACCCAGGCTCCCCAAATCATGTTAGTGTTTTATTCTTTGTTTAATCATGGTGAGAACATATAACATAAAATTTATATCCACACCATTTTTAAGCCTACAGTTCAGTGGCATTAGGCACATTCATATTGTTGTGCACCATCCATCTCCAGAACTCTTTTCATCTTGCTAATCTGAAACCTGTACTCATTAAACAGTTAATTCCTTGTTTGCTTTGTTCATGTTTTTAGCTAAGATGCATGGCTAGAAGTTCTCCTTTGATTAGGGCCACATTATCTTACACATCCTTAGCACAAGTTCTTTAACTGCTGGAATGCTACGTTAACATTAGCAGCTTACCCTGAGTTCATTTATTTACCACTGCTAGTGCTCAATATGCATGTTGTAAGATTTTTTTTTAAGTTTTTTATTTTTAAAAAAGATTTATTAGAGAGAAAGAGAGAGAGCACATGCTCAAACTGGGAGAGGGGCAGAGAGAGAGAGGAAGAGAGAGAATCCCCAAGCAAACTCTCCATTGAGTGCTGAGCCTGAGGTGGGGCTCCATCCCAGGATCCTGAGATCCTCAGCTGATCTGAAATCAAGAGTCAGCTGTTCAACTGACTGACTGAGCGACACAGGTGCGCCCCACATGTTGTAGGATTTAATATGTTTTTGACAGTGGTTGTTTTTGGAGGGTGAGTGGCAGTAATGTGATCATTTTAAGGCTTTATTTTATGTAGTGTATTTCTTATACAAAGAAGACATTTCATTGATCTTATTGTTTAGGTGATTCTTAAGAGGAGAGAATGTAAAGACACCAATTTGCATAACCACTTGTCATTGATCATTGATCTTCATTTCTGCATGGGCTTCAATTGTATTGTTCTTATATCCCTGGCTTTTAGTTCAGCCCAAAAAAATGGTATAATCGTCAAGAAATGAGAATCCACTTTACTAAAGTCTCTATAAAACTGTTTGATGTGTTATGATTGACTTTCTCCTACACTAAGTTTACCTTAATGGTGTTGACTATAAAAACTGGATTTTTTTGAAACAAAATGATTATATTACAGGCTATGCTACATAAACTAGATGAAGAAAATATTGGAAAATCCACTCATTGGTAACAAAACTGCCTAATGGGCCTATTTAATTTTTTTCTTGTAAAGTATAATAAAGCTAATAAATGCAAAGCAAAAGTTTAATATTTCTTTCTTATTTGCTCCACTTGATGGGATGTTGAGAATTTCAAGGGATAGGACATCATGTGTAGTTGCAAAAATATATTGTTTAATAGTTGATCACATTTTCACCGTTTAAGACTGGATGTTCCCCCGAGTTATTCCATATGAAATTATGGGCCCAGACACTTAAACCAAGGGTATTGTGGATGCTGTGCATAGTCCCCTGCTGAGTTATTCTCTGTATTATGATAATGACCCAGGCAGGTAATTTTAAATTGGTATTTCTTGGATTACTAATTTGGGTGAAATGGATTATAAAGGAAATACCTTGGACTAAAGTAGAGTTTATGCCTAGGAAGAGTAATAACTTAGGAAAGAAAATGAATGCACTTTCATTATGGTTCCATTTCCCAAAATGCTGCATGTTGCTCCCAAAAGAACCCCAAGTTCAGGAATGACTCATATTCTATCCCCCTCTGAGAGACACGGTGAATTTTGGAAGTTTTGAGAGAGTAGAGAACAGTATGTGTTGTGGTTAAGTGTATCCTGTATCTGCCACTAGCTGTGTGACCTGTGGAAAGTTACATAATGTCTTCTGTCTCGGTTTGCCCGTGTGTAAAATGGGAATAATAACATGTAATAAGGTTGTCATGAGGTTAAATGAGGTGTTGCATAGAAAAGGCTCAGCACTATGACCAACTAAATGTTACCTACTGGTTCAATGGTAGTGCTAATAATAGAAACATTACTAAGCCCTGTGCCTCCTACACTTACTTGACCATGGGGCTCTTTTTTTGAGGAACATCTACAAACATCTCAGATGTTGAACTGTGTTAGATTTGTGTTTAATTACCTTTAAGAAATTCTGTATTATATTATGATACATACACCTCTATGTTTCCTGCTATTCGCTAGTGTCATGAATGCAGTTTGTTATACCTTATATATAATGATTGTTTAGAAGTTCCAGAGTATTTTCTCTCTTTTTTTTTAATTTTTTATTTATTTATGATAGTCACAGAGAGAGAGAGAGGCAGAGACACAGGCAGAGGGAGAAGCAGGCTCCATGCACCGGGAGCCCGACGTGGGATTCGATCCCGGGTCTCCAGGATCGCGCCCTGGGCCAAAGGCAGGCGCCAAACCGCTGCGCCACCCAGGGATCCCTATTTTCTCTTTTATCATAGTTTATTTTCAGATTGTTCTAGGACACCTGGCAAAATGTTGAGCCCA